AGGCTGAGATGGGACAATTGCTTGAGCCTGGGAGATTGAGGCTGCTGTAAGCTATGATCATGTTACTGCAATCCAACCTGGATGACAGAGCAAGACCTTGTTGCGAAAAAATAAATAAATAAATACATAAATAAATAAATAAGGATTTTTTTTTTTTCTTTCTGATTTTGTATTATTTTAGAGTTGTCATCTTGCTATGTTGCTCAGGCTGGAGTGCAGTGGCTGTTCACAGTCATGATCGTAGCACCCGCAGCCTTCAACTTCTGGCCTCAAGGGACACTCTCACCTCAGTCTCCCAACTAGCTGGAACTATAGGTGTGTGCCACAGTTCCCAAATTAGAATTCTGCTTTTAGAGAGAACATAACCACAATAATCGTGTAAAAAATTAATAATTTCTTAATATATCTTATTAGGGTTCAAATTTCCAATTATCTCCTAAATTATATTTTTATAATTTAAAAATTGGCCCACTGCCTGTTTTTCTAAGTATAGTTTTCTGGGAACAGAGCTACACTTATTTATTTGTGTGTTATCTTTAGCTGCTTTCATGCTACAATGCAGAGTTCAGCAGTTGCAGCAGAAACCATATGACTCTTAAAACCTGAAATATTTACTGTTTGACCCTTTACAGAAAGTTGGTGACCCCTGCTTTAGGCAATTATCTTTTAGAATAATTAAAAATAGGAAGAAATGTCATATTTGCCTTCATTTTAACCACTTTGGGAGATCATTTATTTATGTAAATCCAAGTTTCCTTCTGATATCATATTCCTTCTTTCTGAAGAACTTCCTTTAGCATTTCTTGTAGAATATATTTTAGCTTTTGCTTGTCTGAAAACGTTTTTACTTTGCCTTTGTTTTTAATAGGTATTGCTGGGTTTAGAATTCTGTGTTAATAGTTTTATTCTTTTAGCCCTCCAGAAGTGTCCCTCCATTTTCTTTTGGTTTGCATAGTTTCTGGTGAGATGTCTTTCTTTATTTGTTTGTTTATATTTTTTTAGGGATGACTTTTCTTTTTTTTTTTTTTTTTTTTTGAGGTGGAGTCCTACCCTGTCACTTAGGCTGGAGTGCAGTGGCGTGATCTTGGCTCACTGCAACCTCCGCCTGCCGAGTTCAAGTGATTCCTGTCTCGGCCTCCCAAGTAGCAGGGATTACAGGCACCTGCCACCATGCCCAGCTATTCTTTTTGTATTTTTAGTAGAGATGGGATTTCACCATGTTGGCCAGGCTGGTCTTGAACTCCTGACCTCAGGTGATCTGCCTACCTCAGCCTCCCAAAATGCTGGGATTACAGGTGTGAGCCACCATGCTCGGCCTTTTATTATAATTCTTATCTTTGTTCCTATGAATTCAATGCCTTTCTCTTTGGTTACTTTCAAGATTTTCTCTTTCTTTGGTTTTCAGTAGTTTGTGTCTAGGTTTGTGGATTTTTTCATTTTGTAGTTTGGTATTCATCTTGATTGGGGTTCTCTTAAGCTTGCATCTGTCATTTGATATCTCATTATTTTTGGAAAATTTTCAGCTATTCTTTTTTTTTTTTTTTTTGAGACAGAGTCTCTGGAGTTCAGTGGCATGATCTTGGGCTCTGCAAGCCTTGAACTCCTGGGCTCAGGTGATCCTCCCACCATAGCCTCCCAAGTAACTGGGACTACAGGTGTGTGCCACCACTCCTGGCTAATTTTTAAATATTTTTTTGTAGAGATGGAGTTTCACCATGTTGCCCAGGCTGGTCTGGAATTCGTGGGCTCAAGCATTCTGTCTGCCTCGGCCTCCCAAAGTGCTAGGATTACAGGCATCAGCCACTGCAGTTGGCCTATATCTCTTCAGAGCCGTTATCTTTCTATTCTTCTGGGATTCCAATTATTTACATAATAAGACCATTTAATGTTTTCCCATAGTTCCTACATACTCTATTCTTTTATCTTTTGTTCTTTTACTCTTCTCTTTTTGTTTTAGTTTGGATAATTTTGACTGACCTAGCTCTGAAATCTTTGGTATTGAGTTAACTGATAAGGCTGGCAAAGGCATCCTTCATCTGTTACTATGTTCATGTATTTCTAGCATTGCCATCTGATTCTTACAGTTTCCATCTCTTTGCAGAAATTCATCACCATTCATGCATGTACCTTTTCTACTAGAGCCTTTTGCATATTAAACATAGTAATCTTAAATTTCTTTTCTGATAATTCTAACATCTTGGTCATCTCAGAGTCTGGTTTTGTTGATTGCTTTGTCTCGTAGTGGGTTGTTTTTTTATGTGAATATGGGGGAGATAATTTGTTATTGATATTGAACGCTAGACATCATGTATACACTGCCAGAAGTGGCACACCTCTGCTACTGAGTTGTCAGTCAGTAGGGGTTAAGTCAGTCTAGTCAGGAGTTGAGCTTCATTTGTTCTTTTTTCGTTGTTGCTATGGGTACCTTCAGTGCATCACCAGCTTCAGATTCCTCTGCTGTTACCTTGTGTTTAGGGGTAGGGGTACTATGTTGTCCCAGTGTTTTGTTTTTTGTTGTTGTTTTGTTTTGTTTTGTTTTTGAGACAGCGTCTCACTCTGTTACCCAGGCTGGAGTGCAATGGCGTGATCATAGCTTACTGCAGCCTTGGCCTCCTGGGCTCAAGTGATCCTCCCACTTTAGCCTCCTCAGTAGCTGGGACCACAGTTGCATGCCACCATGCCCAACTGATTTTTTAAAAACATTTTTTTGTAGAGATGGGGGTCTCACTATATTACCCGGACTAGTCTCAAACTCCTGGCCTCAAGCAATTCTCCTACCTCAGCCTCCCAGTGTTGGGATTACAGGCATGAGCCACTGCACCCAGCCCCAATGTTTTTATTAATGTTCATGTTCTATACTCAGCTTCTGTCTTTGCCCTTGCATCTCATGGTGAATCTCTTTCTAAGCTCTAGCCCTTCATCCAGCAGTAGACTGCTGTTGTTTATTGCTCCATACTTGCTAGCCTGGTGATAGGGGCCAGGGAAAGGGGATTCTTTGTTGTCATAGTCTAGTCTCTGCCTTAGGCATACCATGTGTCCCTGGGTCTCCTGGGTGGCACTTTCTTGGTGATCCTGTCCCCCTCCTACCTGAAGGAAACTCTTAACGGTCTGGGCCCAGGATGGTTTCTTGTCCATCCCTTAGTAGTAGAGAGCTTTTCCTTTTCCCTTTCACCAGCTTCAGTGAGTTGTTGCCTGTGTTCTGAAAGCAACTTGTTTTTGTCCAAGTGGCTTTAAGGCTCTTTCTCTCTAGGGGCTTTTTTCTAGAGAAGAGCCTGCAAGAGGGTGTGAACTCCCCTTGCGCCTGTTGCTTCTAGGGGTTCTGTACTCTTGTGCTCTTCCATACTTGGACTTTAGCAATTTATTTAAAATTTTAGTTGAATTCTCACTCATCTGTGTGGTGTGGTGTGCAGCATTGTCTTCTCCTCATGCTTTGCTACCGTTGAGCCACTGCTGATGTCTCTTCGTGGAAGCACCTGGCGTTCTTTAGATTTCATCCAGGCTACTTGGTCTCCCTACAACTCAGGTCTCAGATGAATTCAGGGAAAGTTATAATAAAGTAAAGTATCTAGCCTTTTCTCATTGTTCTACTTGGGGAATGATCTTTCCAGCTTCCTAGATCTTAGAAGTCAAATTACAGTGTTATATAGTCACTTGAAATAGGTGCTATCTTTGTGGTTGTGTGTTTATTTCAATACGTGGTAGTTTCATTGGTTTAATTTTTCTCTCAGTTTCAGGGATTGCTTCCTTCAAATTTTAATTTTGTTTCATAATTGTGTGAACTGTTTATATGATTGCAAGTCATTTATACGAACAATATGTATTGAAAAAAGCCTAGTTTCTCTCCCTGTCTGCTCTATCCTATTCCTTTCTTTCCTCTATAGGAAACCTTTAAAAAAAATCCTATGGAATGTTTCTTATAGTTAAGAAATATGAATGTGGTTAAGAAATTTATTTTATTTCATTTTATTTATTTATTTATGATGGAGTTTTGTTCTTGGTGCCCAGGCTGGAGTGCAATGGTGTGATCTCGGCTCACTGCAACCTTCACCTCCTGGGTTCAAGCGATTCTCCTGCCTCAGCCTCCCGAGTAGCTTGGATTACAGGCATGCGCCACCACGCCCAGCTAATTTTGTTTTTTTAGTAGAGATGGGATTTCTCCATGTTGGTCAGGCTGGTCTCAAATTCCCGACCTCAGGTGATCTGCTCACCTTGGCCTCCCAAAGTACTGGGATTACAGGCATGAGCCACCGCACCCAACCCTTTACAAATTCTGTGAACATCCTCATTCTTTCTAAAATTTCAGTATACTGTGTTGTGTTTCCTCTATCTGCAACTGTTGCCCACTAAAAATTGTGCCTACTGGTCCAAAAACTGTATGAGAAGGCATTGCCTCTATTTTCTTAGGAATTTGTAGATTCGAGTTTCGGTTGTAATAAAATTTAGCAGATGAGTATGAATTTAAAAGTTCACATTCTTTATTCACTTTGAAAATTGTATTTGCTCTGTAATTGCCAGGTAACCTATAAAGAGTGTAATCAAGGTATATTTTGCTATTTCCCTTTTCCTCCCACTTGCTTTTATGGTTCATGTAATGCTCATTTTTAGCCAGCAGAGGCCACTAGAGCCTGCTGGGGAGCAGAAGTGCAACAGAAATGCAGCCATTCTAAGACAGTGATTGCTAAAAGGTCACTTTTTAATAACTTTACAATTATTATCTCAATTTTGCTAGCTTGCGCCATGTGAAGATTTTATGCTAAATGTTGGTGGGCAAGAAGGTGTCTATGACATTTACTTTAGTTTTTTCATTATGTTTAATCTTTAAAGAAATAAATTTGAGAATTATTGTTAACTGCATTGTGTAATGTCTGTTGAGCTAACACCTACTTTCCTATGTAAAACCCTACAAAATACATGGCCCTAACTCTCTAGGAAATGATGTTATATATGAGGAATGCTACAGTTTATTACAGGCTTACTTTTTTCCCCGTGACTCCTCTCAGTTTGCAGGCCTTTCAGATATATCCATCTCACAAGACATCCCCGTAGAAGGAGAAATCACCATTCCTATGAAATCTCGCATCCGGGAGTTTGACAGCTCCACATTAAATGAATCTGTTCGCAATACAATCGTAAGTTAGACTAGTTGAGAGAACTTCTGTTCAGTATCCTGGGACTAAGTAACTGATAGTACTTTGCAATATTTTCATTTGGTTCACTGGTTTTGAATATGTTTTATATACTGAAGTTTAATATTTTATTCTAGAGAATAATTTGGTACAGCCTTTTTGGAGAGCAGTTTGGTTATCATGCATATTAAGAATCTTAAAACCGCAAGGTATGGTGACTCGCGCCTGTAATCTCAGCCCTTTGGGAGGCCAAGGCGGGCGGATCACCTGAGTTCAGGAGTTCAAGACCAACCTGACCCACATGGTGAAACCCCATCTCTACTAAAAATACAAAAATTAGCCGGACATGGTGGCGCACGCCTGTAATCCCAGCTGCTTGGGAGACTGAGGCAGGAGAATCGCTTGAACCTGGGAGGTGGAGGTTGCAGTGAGCGGAGATCACACCACTGTACTCTGGCCTGGGCAACAGAGCGAGACTCTGTCTCAAAAAAAAAAAAAAAAAAAAAAAAAAAAAAATCTTAAAATGTCCAAATCTTTTTAAACCAATATATTATCATACTTCTCCAAATATAGTATAAGGAAAGTTTTAAAATGTAAAACAAAAATTTTCAACATGAAAGTGTCAATATACAAAGATGTTTATTATAGCATTCTTTGTAATAGGGGAAAGCTAGAAATAAATGAACCATAGATGAGGTATTGGTTAGGTAAATTATGTTGTATCTTTGTGATGGGATGCTAAACAACTATTAAAAATTATGTTTACAAAGTGTTTAATAACATGGATAAAGTTCTAGGTGAAAAAACTAAAACAGAATTAGCTCAGTGGTACTTTGAGAGGTTGTATTTGTATTACTGAACCCTTCCTCCAGTTTCGTGATTTTTTTTTTTAATCTGGCTTCTAGGATTTGTTTACCAATTAAATTGGGAATGTTAGAAATTTATTTCATATATTGCAAAGAATGTGGTAGCTAGAGAGCAGGCTAATTGACCCTTGAGACCTCATCTTCTATGAACTGAATGTCGCATACTGTGTTTTGTAGAGCAGCTTTTTATAGTGCAATTGTTTTAGTTTCTTCAAGCAGCCTATTGGGAGGGCTGTGTTTCTTTTTTATGGATTTGTTTTCAACATCAAAACAGAACAGATCAAAAAAGATGTGGAAAAGTGTTAAAAGTTGGCTTAAGAAGTTAATAGAAAAAGCATACCCTACCTCTCTGGTTTGTTTGTGTAGTGAAGGAGTTGAACTGGAATTATCTGCAAAATTCAATGAAGAGTTCACAGGAGATTGAAATAAAAGAAATTTTAGCAAATTAAGTAAGGCTGCTGACAACCTTGGTCATCACAATACAACAGGTTGTTTCTGTTTTTCAGATGCGTGATCTAAAAGCTGTTGGGAAAAAATTCATGCATGTTTTGTACCCAAGGAAAAGTAATACTCTTTTGAGAGATTGTAAGTATATGAAGTTTTTAAGGGTTTGCTTAATCTATCTCACCGTGCCTTATCATAAGTACTTTATGAGGCAAAGGCTCTGTGGTAATAAAACTGACATCATTTTGTAGGATGAAAAAAATATGTAAATGATATGTAAATCAAACTTCTGGCAGAAATTAAACATTTATTTTATTTTATTTTTATTTTTATTTTTTTTGAGACAGAGTCTCACTCTGACTCCCAGGCTAGAGTGCCGTGGTGTGATCTTGGCTCACTGCAACCTCCGCCCCCCGGGTTCAAGTAATTTTCATGCCTCAGCCTCCTGAGTAGCTGAGATTAAAGGTGCCTGCCACCACGCCCAGCTAATTTTTTTGTATTTTTAGTAGAGACGGGTTTCACCATGTTGGCCAGGCTGGTCTCCAACTCCCGACCTCAGGTGATCCACCTGCCTCAGCCTCCCAAAGTGCTAGGATTACAGGCAGAAATTAAAAATTTAGATTGGAATCTCAGAGACTGAAAGATTTTGCTTATTATATTGCCCTCATCAATAAATATACCTCATCAATAAATATACCTCATCAATAAATATACAGTGTCCAGGCATGGTGGCTCATATGTGTAATACCAGCACTTGGGAGGCTGAAGCAGGAGGATTGTTTGAACTCAGGGGTTTGAGACCAGCCTGGGCAACATGGCAAGACCTCATTTCTACTAAAAATTAAAAAACTAGCCAAGCCTGATAGCGCATGCCTGTAGTCCTAGCTGCTTGGGAGGCTGAGGTGGGAGGATTGCTTGAGCCCAGGAGATCAAGGCTGTAGTGAGTCATGACTGCACCACTGCACCCTAGCCTGGGTGATAGAGCGAGACCTGTCTCAAAAAAAAAAAAAATATATATATATATATATATATATATAATATATAGCATACATATAAATTTTTCTTAATTTATTTTTTATTTTTTTTTGAGATGGAGTCTCGCTCTGTCACCCAGGCTGGAGTGCAGTGGCCAGATCTCAGCTCACTGCAAGCTCCGCCTCCTGGGTTCACGCCATTCTCCTGCCTCAGCCTCCCGAGTGGCTGGGACTACAGGTGCCCGCCACCTCGCCTGGCTAGTTTTTTGTATTTTTAGTAGAGACGGGGTTTCACCGTGTTAGCCAGGATGGTCTCGATCTCCTGACCTCATGATCCACCCGTCTCGGCCTCCCAAAGTGCTGGGATTACAGGCTTGAGCCACCGCGCCCGGCCCATATAAATTTTTAAAAATGCTCTAGTGGTTACTACAAAATGCATTTCTGGAGGATGCTAATTTATAATATTTACATATATTGCATAATATTCCTGGAAGCTGCTGACACATAAAGAATTAATGATCTCCAAGGGAAAGACAAATGTTTAAATTTTTGTTTGTTAGTTTTTTGAGATGGAGTCTTGCTCTGTTGCCCAGGCTGGAGTGCAATGGCACAATCTCAGCTTACTGCAACTTCTGCCTCCAGGGTTCAAGCGATTCTTCTGCCTCAGCCTCTGGAATAGCTGGGATTACAGGTGCCCGCCACCACATCCGGCTAATTTTTGTATTGTTAGTAGAGACGGATTTTGCCATGTTGGCCAGGCTGGTCTCGAACTGCTGACCTGAAATGGTCCACCTGCCTTGGCCTCCCAGAGTGCTGGGATTACAGGCGAGAACCACCACCCCTGGCCTAAATGTTAATATAATAGTAAATACCCATAAACATTTAACAAATTATTAGTACCTTTATTGACAGTTTCATTTTCAAGCCTATCATTTAGTCTGATGACTGCTTTCTTTATCAGAGTTCTGTCAAAACAGACAGCGTCTCACTCTGTTACCAAGGCGGAGATGCAATGGCATAATCATAGCTCACTGCAGCCTCAAACTCCTGGGCTCAAGCAGTCCTTCTGCCACAGTCTCCTGAGTAGCTGGGACTGTAGGCATGTGCCACCACGCCTGGCTAGTTTTTAAATATTTTGTAGAGATGGGGGTCTCCCTATGTTGCCCAGGCTTGTCTCAAACTCCTGGCCTCAAGCAATCTGCCCACCTCAGCCTCCTAAAGTGCTGGGATTACAGGCAGGAGCCACTGTGCCCAGCCAATGTTTTATTTTTTCAACTTTTTTGTTAAAAACGAAGACAAATGCAAACACATTGGTCTAGGCCTTCACAGGATCAGAACTGGATCATCAGTACAATTGTCCTCCACCTCTGTATCTATACTATTGGAAGGTCTTCTGGGGCATGAACACGCATGAAACTGCCATCTTCGATTATAACAATGCCTTCTTCTGGAATATCTCCCGAAGGACCTGCCTGAGACTGTGTTATGGTTAACTTTTTTCTTTTTTTAGAGACATGATCTTGCTCTGTCACTCAGGCTGGAATGCAGTGGCGTGATTATAGCTCACTATGGCCTCAAATGTCTAGGCTCAAGCCATTCTCCCACCTCAGGCTCCCATGCCTGGAGCCTGTGACACCATGCCCAGCTAATTTTTAAAAATTTTTTTGTCCGGGCACGATGGTTCACGCTTCTAATCCCAGCACTTTGGCAGGCCAAGGTGGGTGGAACACCTGAGGTCAGGAGTTCCAGGTCAGCCTGGCCAACATGGTGAAACCCTGTCTCTATTACAAATACAAAAATTAGCTGAGTGTGGTGGCAGACGCCTGTAGTCCCAGCTACTCGGGAGGCTGAGGCGGGAGAATTGCTTGAACCCGGGAGGTGGAGGTTGCAGTGAGCTAAGATTGCGCCATTGCACTCCAGCCTGGGTGAAAAGAGGGAAACTCTGTCTCAAAACAAAGCAAAGAAAGAAAAAACAAACAAACAAACAAAAAACACGTGTTTTTAGAGACAGGGTCTTGCTCTGTTACCCAGGCTGAACTTTTTAGGTAGAAGTATGCTTCAACGTAACAATGAAAAGTATACCATAGTAAACACTTAAACCACAGTAGCATAGTCATTTTTTATCATTATCAAGTAGAGTATTATGTAGTGTACATAATTGTGCTATATTTTTATATGACTGGCAACATAGTAGGTTTGTTTATACCAGCATCACCACAGACACGTGAGTAATGTGTTGTACTAGATGTCACTAGGTGATAGGAATTTTTTAGCTCCATTATAATCTTATGGGACCACTGTCATTGACCAAAATGTCATTATGTGGCACATGACAGTACACTTGAATTCAGTTTTTAAGTTGAGCAATTAAAAAAAAAAATTAATGAAATTAGCAGCAGTTTTATTAGAAGTGGTAGGATTATGGTTTTTTATGTCTTTTCCAAACTTTCCACAATGGTGTCAAAATTACTTACATAATTAAAAAATAAATAATATTAAGTATATAAATTTGCGTACGTCTCTTGGGTAAGGTTATATACATGTGAGGTTAAAGTTAGATGTGGGATATGTGCCTTTTTGGAATGAATTGAGGAAGGTAATTGTGCTCTAAGCTGTGTGCTACTAAACTGTTGGCATACAAATCACTCAGAAGCTTATTTTGTTTGTTTTTTTGAGACAGAGTCTTGCTCTGTCACCCAGGCTGAAGTGTAGTGAGTGGAGGTTGTGATCTTGGCTCACTGCAACCTCTGCCTCCTGGGTTTGAGCGATTCTCCTGCCTCAGCCTCCCGAGTAGCTGAGATAACTGGTATGTGCCACCACAACTGGCTCATTTTTTTGTATTTTTAGTTAGAGACGGGGTTTCACCATGTTGGCCAGGCTCGTCTCAAACTCCTGACCTTAAGTGGTCTTCCCGCCTCAGCTTCCCAAAGTGCTGGGATTACAGGCATGAGCTACCGAACCTGACCAAATCACTCGGTAACTGTTTTTGTTGGTTTGTTTGTTTTGGAGACGGAGTCTTGCACTGTCACCCAGGCTGGAGTGCAGTGGCACGATCTTGGCTCACTGCAACCTCTGCCACCTGGGTTCAAGCAATTCCCATGCCTCAGCCTCCTGAGTAGCTGGGATTACAGGCACGTGCCACCATGCCCAGTGAATATTTTGTATTTAATAGAGATGGGATTTCATCATGTTGTCCAGGCAGGTCTCAAACTCCTGAGCTCAGGCCATCTACCCGCCTCAGCCTCCCAAAGTGCTAGGATTACAAGCATGAGCCACCGCACCCAGCCTGCAGCTTTTGATTGAGGACCATGTTTGCTAGACCTGATGCTGGCAGAGCCTTCATAGCCTTTTGCAGTTTTCAGAAAGCCTTCATATGTTATTTGTTAAAGTTTAACCTTGTGAAATTACCAATACTGGGCTGTTTTGTTGCCTAGAAGAACAGCAACTCTGTATTAATTCAGTATACTAATTATAAAAGGGAAGCAGTACGACAGAGTGGCAACAACTTTGGTCGAAGACTCAAAAGACCAGGCCGGGTGTTGTGGCTCATGCCTGTAATCCCAGCACTTTGCGAGGCTGAGGCGGGTGGATCACTTGAGGCCAGGAGTTTAAGACTAGCCTGGGCAACACGGCGAAACTCCATCTTTACAAAAAATACAAATTAGCTGGGTGTGGTAGCATGTGCCTGTAGTCCCAACTACTCAGGAGGCTGAGGTAGGAGGATCACCTGAGCCTGGGAGGTTAAGGCTGCAGTGAGCCACGATCGCACCACTGCACTCTAGCCTGGGCAACAGAGTGAGGCCCTGTCTCAAAAAAAAAAAAAAAAAAAAAAGAATCAGGCCAGGTGCGGTGGCTCACGTCTGTAACCCAGCAGTCTGTAACCCCAGCACTTTGGGAGGCCAAGGTAGGCGAATCGCCTGAGGTCAGGAGTTGAAAACCATCCTAGCCAACATGGTGAAACCCTGTTTCTACTAAAAACACAAAAATTAGCCAAGTATGGTGGCGGGTGCCTGTAATTCCAGCTACTCGGAAGGCTGAGGCAGGAGAATCGCTTGAACCCAGGAGACAGAGGATGCTATGAGCTGAGATTGCGCCATTGCACTCTAGCCTGGGCAACAAAAGCCAAACTCCATCTCAAAAAAAAAAAAAAAAAAAAAAAAAAAAAAAAATCAGTAGCCTTAGGTTCTGGTCCCACCTCCACATATAAAACTAGGCAAGTCATTTCCTTCTCAGCTTCATTTTTTGTATTTGTGAACTGAGCATGATTATACTTGCCTTGTCTAGTGCAGTCTCTGATCGGTAAAGTGCCTTGGCTATAGTCTTTTTTCTTAAGAGTATGGGGTAGGGAACCTAGGTCTTCTGATTGTTTGTCCATTGGTCTTTAATTATAGGATGCCAGTATGTGGCTTAGTAGATGGGGAGGAGGGAAGGGTGATTTGTGGGATATGAAGTAAACAAAACTTAAAGTCTATGTAAAGAAGTGCATTCAGGATTAGGGGACAGGGAGGGCAGGTAGTGGGAGAGGAGAGGTAGGAAGGCTTAGGCAGGCAAAGAGAGCCTTGATGTCTGAATTCCAGGAGGGAGAGAGGTAGATACTGGAATAAAGATAGAAAATATTACCTTTGCTTCTGTCTTTTCTTGTCTCCTAGGGGATTTGTGGGGCCCTTTGATCCTTTGTGTGACACTCGCATTGTAAGTACTTGCATTTTCTTTCTTTGTCCTTTGAGCTAGACTAGACTTTTTTGTGGATTTTCAAAATTGTAGGGGATTTTGATTGAATATTTCATTTAGGACTTGTATGACATGTTGGACATGTTGTACTCCTTAGGTATTTAAGCCTCTAACGTCACTTTCCAAATCAATTAAAAAATGATGAAATTAGGCTCACCTTCCTTAACCAATGACATTTTAGTCTGTTTTAACCATGTCTATTCAACAAATATTTATTTACTTATTTACTCTCTTGTTCCTCCCCATTATTAAACTAAGTGAATTAAGGTTTAAGCACCCTTTGTTTGCAAACGTAATTCTCTGTAATCTTACTAAAAATATGAATGAGAATGAGAATAAATCAGAAGTAGTAGTGAAAAGCAAGATCGTGTTTCAGAGCATTGTACTTTTTCATACACGTTGTATGTAAAGGAAGAGGACAGAGGAAGGAGAGAAAGGTTACACTAGAGAGAGGAATATAACCATTGATAGAGTGGGAAAAAATACTGCCCTGGAATTCAGTTCGGAGTTCGCATTCTGACTCTACTGTCAGCTAGCTATGTGACTTTGGGCTACTAATAACCAATGTTTGTATAATTTTTCCCAGTTTGCAGAAAACTTTGAAATACTTTCTCTTACTTTAGCCACATAGCAAGAATTTAAATTATTTTCTTTTTTTTTTTTTTTTTTTTTTTTTTGACAAATAAGCTCAGGTTCACAAAGGTTGAGGATTTAACCAAGATCACATAATCAGTGGTAGACCTGAGATTCAACCTCAGGTTTCCTCACTATCTACTCTGTACCTCTAGGGTTCATTACACATCTCTTCCCACCTAGTCACTCTGGGTCTCCTCTTCCATATCTGTAAAGGGAGATGATTGAGGGTCCTTTCCAGGCTTAACCCTTTGTGGGTCTAAATTCACTAAGTTTCTTGCTGACTTCTCTAATTTTTTAAATTTAAATTGAGCATATATTAATTTAGGTAATAATGTTGAGTACTATTTCTTATGCTTTTAGTAACTATGTCAAGGGATGCAGCCTAATGCCTTGATGGAGGGGTTTATATTAGATGTCCTGAGCATATATATATATTTTTTTACTTTTGAAAGATTAACCTTATAGATTACGTAGTTTAACCCCACTTAGTTGCAGAGAAAACTGGAGTCCCAGGACATCAAGTGACATATCTAGTGACAGAATTAGGATCAGTATCTGGGTCTCTTGCTTTCCAGGCTAGTTAATATTCTTTCCATCATACCATGCTGAAGCAATAGGGATTCCAGGCAACAAGTGATGAGTGCTGGCCATTCGTTGCATCTGGTTGTCAGGACTTGGAATGGAATATGCATAGCATAGAATACAAAAGCCTGTGCGTACTGCCAAGTAGCATAGCAGGGCAAGAAAGACTTACAGTGTGACTTCTCTATACTGTTTAATAAGAAGAGGTTGTGAGCTTACAATTACTATTTTTCTTGGTAATAACACCAAGTCCAAATATTCAAAACAGTTTACATCTGTAAAATTCTTAGACAAAGAAAGAATAGTTAAGTGGTTGTTCAACTACTCAATTCCAAAGCAAAACCCTTTAGTAATAATCTGTATGTTTTGATTTTTTTTAAAATCAACAACTAAAAAGGTTTATAGACCATTTCCATTTTTGTTTATTATTTTTATTTTGTTTTGAGGCACTCTCACTCGGTTACCTAGGCAGAGTCGGCGGTGTGATTACAGCTCACTGTAGCCTCAACCTCCCAGGCTCAAGTGATTCTCCCAGCTCAGCCTTCCTAGTAGCTACAACTATAGGCATGTACCACCACGGCCAGCTAATTTTTTTATTTTTTGTAGAGACGGGGATTTCGTCATGTTGCCCAGGCTGGTCTCGAATTCCTGGCCTCAAGCGATCTGCCTGCCTTGGCCTCCCAAAGTGCTGAGATTACAGGCTGAGCCACCATACCTGGCCTATTTCCGTTTTTAAATATCTCAACTGAAACCTTAACCCAAGAATTGCAAATTCAGATATGTCTAAAGGCTAGAGTAGTAACCTAAATGCACGTAGTAGTGATATGGTGACTGTAAGCCCTTTGCACTTATGTCAGCTACATTTAATTGTTGCAGTGTTGGAATGCAGGCTCAGTGTTAGAAAGTCTAATCATTTTTTCAAGAAGATCTAGAAATTCATATTCTTATGTGAAATAAAATAATGTCAACTTAAATTCAAAATCATCTTAAATATTATATAAGCCCAAAACCTCATATCTGTGAGGTACATTTGACCCTTCAGTTTATAACCACCGCTTAAAAAAAAAGGTCTTCAGTAATTCAACAAGGTCAAATGGAGCACCCCTTGTAGTCCTGAGGCATTTGGAATTTGCAGTAAGGGAGCCTTGCCAAACACTTGTGTCATTTTCCTTTTACTACAACCTACATATTACAGATCTTCGGGTGAGGTTATAGCACAGCAATCTGATTCAAAGTTTGAGAACCCATGCCTTAACTGTGTTGCCCTAAGTAAAAGATTAAGCAATTCTTATGCTGTTTCCTTTTCTCAGAATGCTGCAAAGAGACTCTGTAGATAGTGAAAAAGATGGAGGGCCCCAGTTTGCAGAGGTGTTTGTCATTGTCTGGTTTGGTGCAGTTACCATCACCCTCAACTCAAAGCTTCTTGGAGGGAACATGTGAGTATTATTAAAATGCATTGTTTTTCCCCCTTGCCAGGTAGTATATCTTAGATTAAGGAAGACAGGCTAGTTAGATTTTTTTTTTTTTTTTTTTTTTTTGTGACAGGGTCTCAGTCTGTCACCCAGGCTGGAGTGCAGTGGTGTGATCATGACTTACTGCAGCCTCTGTCTCCCAGGCTCAGCGTCCCAAGTAGCTGGGATCCTCCTGCCCCAGCATCCTGAGTAGCTGGGACTACAGGCATGTGCTACTATGCCTGGCTAATTAAAAAAAAATTTTTTTTGTAGAGATGGGGTCCCACTGTATTGCCTAGGCTGGTTTTGAACTCCTGGGTTCAAGTGATCCTCCCACCTTGGCCTCCCAAAATGCTGGGATTATAGGCATGAGTCACCATACCTGGCCTGATATTTTTTTAAAAAGAAAAATCGAACTAAATAAGGGCCAAAGAGAAGTGTTCTTAAAACCACTACTACTGGTCAGAGATAACCTTGTTGAGTTAAATTGTCTTAAATTATCTGAGGTCCTTTAATAAGCTTCAGATGCCCTCTCCAGGCCCTGAAATCATAGGCAGACTTTTTTGTGTAAGAAGAGTATATACGTTTTGGGGGGCAAGTGGTCCATAGCTTTCAACAAATTCTCAAGTATAATAGGTCTATAAACTAGAAAGGATTAAGAACCACCATCTTAGAGGTTCAGAGAAAGATATCTGTAGGAACTAGAGCAGATCATCTGGTGTTAGATGATTGACTTTTAAGGGATCTGAGAGGAGAGGAGGAAGAGTATAGGGAAAGAAAATTAAAGCATGTACTTAATTTTTTTTTTTTTTTTTGAGATGGAGTCTTGCTCTGTCACCCAGGCTGGAGTGCAGTGGCACGAACTCAGCTCACTGCAACCTCCACCTCCCGGGTTCAAGCGATTTTCCTGCCTCAGCCTCCTGAGTAGCTGGGATTACAGGCACCCGCCACAATGCCCGGCTAATTTTTTTGCATTTTTAGTAGAGATGGGGTTTCACCATGTTGGCCAGGCTGGTCTCAAACTCCTGACCTCAGGTGATCCACCCACCTTGGCCTCCCAAAGTGTTGGTATTACAGGCGTAAGCCACCACATCCAGCCAAAAGCATGTACTTAATAATTAGTGTTAGGATGTAGATGTTATGTACCAAGAAGGAGGAAACAGTCCATTATATAGAGAAATCTATGTAATAAGCTGTGTCATAACACCCATCAGCTGTATTTATGATCTTTATTAATGTATTTTGTTTTTAAGATCTTTTTTTCAGAGCCTCTGTGTACTGGGTTACTGTATACTTCCCTTGACAGTAGCAATGCTGATTTGCCGGCTGGTACTTTTGGCTGATCCAGGACCTGTAAACTTCATGGTTCGGCTTTTTGTGGTGATTGTGATGTTTGCCTGGTCTATAGTTGGTAAGTATATACTTATTTCCACAATAACAGAACAAACAAAAACATGATTTAAAGATGAAGACCAGATGAGGAGCAGTATAAGTCCAAAGTTAGATGTGAGTAATACGATTCTTGACAGTATTATCCATAGAACCCTCTTTCCTGAGTAGGCAACGATGGGGCTGCTGTCTATCTTATCTGAGTTGGATATCTGGACTTATAAGGTATGGAGAGTCACATCTTTTTTCTTTCTTAAAAAAAAAAAAAAAGGTTGGGAGAGTGGATTACACTACATTTAGCCCAGTCCTGGTATATAAAAGGCATTAGGTGACTTGTGAAATGACTGGGATCTTTTCCTGACAAAGTAATTAAAATAAAAATAATAACATTTATGGATTGCTTATCAAAGGCCAGGCACCGTTTAAGAAATACTATTATTAGTCCCATCTTATAGATGAAGAACAGTTACAGAGAAGTTCGGCAGCTTGCCCTAGGTTGCATTACTAGTGAGTAAGAGTCAAATTGCAAACCAGGCAGTCATGAACCTTTAAGAACTGTACTATACTGCCTTTCAGTGTAGATTGTAAGCATCATTATATAGCACTTTTCTGCTTCAGTAGAACATTTTGCTAAAGACTAGGAAGGGCCTATAGCAATGATAATGAATGCTATGTGCTCATTGTTTTTACATTCCTAAAGTTCTCTTAAGATTCCAGCTTAAATTTAGAAGTGTTCACTAGCTTCTGCTTTAATGGATAGACAGACTGCTTAATATTTTTAAGTGTAGTAACATCTCATTGCTCTGGAACATGGTTGAAAGCTAACAAGTAATCCAACAAAGGTCTGAGAGAGCCAGAATTGATATTCCAAAGACTGTATATTAAGCTTGGGTGCTTTTCCCATGGGGACAGTCCCTCATTCTCTCACTGAGAATCTCATAATTACCATACATGTAATTATACTTACTTAGTTATCCAGTATCCAGGCTCACAGGTGATCACGAAGTAGAATCATAGGAGAGAGCAACTTTAATTCAGCAAACATTAGTCACAAACTATGTGTCAGGCATAATTTTAGGCATGGTCTTTGTCCTTGGAGTTCAAAATCTAACAGAGCAGCCCGACATGAAAGCACTTAAAGGCAATAGGTGTTCTAGGTGGGAGATGGAGATTTATACATGGGAACATGATTATTCAGGAAAGATTTCCCAGAGGTGTGATGGTGATGATGATGATTAGTATTTGAGACGGAGTCTCACTCTGTTGCCCAGGCTGGAGTGCAGTGGCACTATCTCGGCTCACTGTAACCTCCACCTCCTGGGTTCAAGCAGTTCTCCTGCCTCAGCCTCCCGAGTAGCTGGGATTACAGCTGTGTGCCACCACACCTGATTAATTTTTGTGTTTTTAGTAGAGATGGGGTTTCACCATGTTGGCCAGGCTGTTCTCAAACTCCCGACTTCAGGTGATCCACCCGCCTTGGCCTCTCAAAGTACTGGGATTATAGACATGAGCCACCGTACCCGGCTGATTATTTTCATTTATTTATTTGGCTAATATATATATATATATGTTTTTATATTATTATTATACTTTAAGTTCTGGGACACATGTGCAGAACATGCAGGTTTTTTACATAGGTATACATGTGCCATGGTGGTTTGCTGCACCCATCAACCCATCATCTACATTTGGTATTTCTCCTAATGCTACCCCTCCTCTAGCCCCCCAACCCCCGACAGGCCCTGGTGTGTGACGTACCTCTCCCTGTGTCTATGTGTTCTCATTGTTCAACCCCCACTTATGAATGAGAACATGTGGTGTTTGGTTTTCTGTTCATGTGGTAGTTGGCTGAGAATGATAGTTTCCAGCTTCATACATGTCCCTGCAAAGGACATGAACTTATCCTTTTATATGGGTGCATAGTATTCCATGGTGTACATGTGCCATATTTTCTTTATCCAGTCTATCATTCATGGGCATTTGGGTTGGTTCCAAGTCTTTGCTATTGTGAACAGTACAGCAATAAACGTAGGTGTGCATGTGTCTGTATAGTATCACCCAGTAATGGGATTACTGGGTCAAATGGTATTTCTGGTTCTAGATCCTTGAGGAATCGCCACACTGTCTTCCACAATGCTTGAACTAATTTACAGTCCCACTAACAGTGGAAAAATGTTCCTATTTCTTCACATCCTCTCCAGCATCTGTTGTTTCCTGAGTTTTTAATGATTGCCATTCTAACTGGCGTGAGATGGTATCTCATTGTGGTTTTGATTTGCATTTCTCTGATGACCAGTGATGATGAGCTTTCATGTTTGTTGACCACATAAATGTCTTCTTTTGAGAAGTATCTGTTCATGTCCTTTGCCCACTTTTTGATGGGGTTGTTTGATTTTTGTCTTGTAAATTTGTTTAAGTTCTTTGTAGGTTCTGGATATTAGCCCTTTGTCAGATGAGTAGATTGCAAAAATTTTCTCCCATTCTGTAGGTTGCCTGTTCACTCTCATAATAGTTTCTTTTGCTGTGCAGAAGCTCTTTAGTTTAATTAGATCCCATTTGTCAATTTTGGCTTTTGTTGCCGTTGCTTTTGGTGTTTTAGTCATGAAGTCTTTGCCTATGCTTGTGTCCTGAATGGTACTATCTAGGTTTTCTTGTAGGGTTTTTATGGTTTTAGGTTTTACATTTAAGTCTTTTATCCATCTTGAGTTAATTTTTGTATAAGGTATAAGGAAAGGGTCCAGTTTCAGTTTTCTGCATATGGCTAGCCAGTTTTTCCAGCACCATTTATTAAATAGGGAATCCTTTCCCCATTGCTTGTTTTTATCAGGCTTGTCAAAGATCAGATGGTTTTGGATGGGCGGCATTATTTCTGATGTCTCTGTTCTGTTCCATTGGTGTATATATCTGTTTTGGTACCAGTACTGTGCTGTTTTGGTTAGTACAGCCTTGTAGTATAGTTGGAGGTCAGATAGAGTGATGCCTCCAGCTTTGTTCTTTTTGCTTAGGATTGTCTTGGCTATATGGGCGCTTTTTTGGTTCCATATGAAATTTAAAGTAGTTTTTTCTACTTCTATGAAGAAAGTCAATGGTAGCTTGACAGGGATAGGATTGAAACTGTAAACTACTTTGGGCAGTATGGACATTTTCATGATATTGATTATTCCTATCCATGAACAAGGAAAGCTTTTCCATTTGTTTGTGTTCTGTCTTATTTCCTTGAGCAGTAGTTTGTAGTTCTCCTTGAAGAGGTCCTTCATATCCCTTGTAAGTTGTATTCCTAGGTATTTTATTCTCTTTGTAGCAATCGTGAATGGGAATTCACTCATGATTTGGCTCTCTGTTTGTCTATGATTGGTATATAGGAAGGCTTGTAATTTTTTCACATTGATTTTGTATCCTGAGACTTTGCTGAAGTTGCTTATCAGCTTAAGGAGATTATGGGCTGAGACGATGGGGTTTTCTAAATATACAATCATGTCATCTGCAAACAGAGACAATTTGACTTCCTCATTTCCTAATTGAATACCCTTTATTTCTTTCTCTTGCCTGATCGCCCTGGCCAGAACTTCCAACGCTACATTGAATAGGAGTGGTGAGAGAGGGCATCCTTGTCTTGTGCTGGTTTTCAAAAGGAATGCTTCCAGCTTTTGCCCATTCAGTATGATATTGGCTATGGGTTTGTCATAAATAGCTCTTATTATTTTGAGATACGTTCCATCAATACCTAGTTTATTGAGAGTTTTTAGCATGAAGGGGTGTTGAATTTTATCAAAGGCCTTTTCTGCATCTATTGAGATAATCATGTGGTTTTTGTCATTGATTCTGTTTATATGATGAATTACGTTTATTGATTTGCGTATGTTGAACCAGCCTTGCATCCCAGGAATTAAGCCGGGTTGATCTTGGTGGATAAGATTTTTGATGTGCTGCAGGATTTGGTTTGCAAGTATTTTATTGAGGATTTTCACATCGATGTTCATCAAGGATATTGGCCTGAAATTTTCTTTTTTTGTTGTGTCTCTGCCAGGTTTTGGTATCAGGGTGATGCTGGCCTCATAAAATGAGTTAGGGAGGAGTCCCTCTTCTTCTATTGTTTGGAATAGTTTCAGAAGGAATGGTACCAGCTCCTCTTTGTACCTCTGGTAGAATTTAGCTGTGAATCTGTCTGGTCCTGGGCTTTTATTGGTTGGTAGGCTATTAATTACTGCCTCAACTTCAAAACTTGTTATTGGTCTATTCAGGGATTTGATGTCTTCCTGGTTTAGTCTTGGGAGGGAGGATGTGTCCAGGAATTTATCCATTTCTTCTAGATTTTCTAGTTTATTTGTGTAGAGGTGTTTATAGTATTCTCTGATGGTAGTTTGTATTTCTGTGGGGTTAGTGTTATCTCCCATTTATCAGTTTTTATTGTGTCTATTTGATTCTTCTCTCTTTTCTTCTTTATTAGTCTGGCTAGTGGTCTATTTTGTTAATCTTTCCAAAAAAACAGTTCCTGTATTCACTGATTTTTTTGAAGGGTTTTTCATGTCTCTATCTTCTTCAGTTCTGCTCTGATCTTAGTTATTTCTTGTCTTCTGCTAGTTTTTGAATGTGTTTGCTCTTGCTTCTCTAGTTCTTTTAATTGTGGTGTTAGGGTGTCAGTTTTAGATCTTTCTCGCTTTGTCCTATGGGCATTTAGTACTATAAAGTTCCCTCTAAACACTGCTTTAGCTGTGTCCCAGAGATTCTGGTATGTTGTGTCTTTATTCTCATTAATTTCAAATAACTTGTTTATTTCTGCCTTAACTTCGTTGTTTACCCAGTAGTCATTCAAGAGCAGGTCATTCAATTTCCATGTAGTTGTGTGGTTTTGAGTGAGTTTCTTAATCCTGAGTTCTAATTTGATTGCACTGTGGTCCGAGAGACTATGATTTCCATTCTTTTCATTCTGTTGTTATGATTTCCATTCTTTTGCATTTGTTGAGTATTTTAATTCCAATTATGTGGTCAATTTTAGAATAAGTGTGATGTGGTGCTGAGAAA